CGCTCTTGCTCAGGCTGGTTTCGAACTCCCGAGCTCAAACAATCCGCCCGTCTCGGCCTCCCAGAGAGCTAGGATTACAGGCGTGAGCCACCACGCCCGGCCTGTTTTCAAAGTTTTTATTCTATTTTCATAATAAAACATCATGGCCCCAAGGAAAAATTTTTTTTCTAGTATAGCTGTCAATGTGTTAAAGATACAATACAAAACAGAAAGATCAGTATTTTCCACTGGTTAATACCTTCTGATTCTCTTCCACTTCAGTTCTAAGTTCTGAACTCACAGCTGTTTTTGTTATTGCTCTGAGGAAATAAAAACATTATCAGCACTTGGTTTAACTTTGATATAAATGTCTTTAATTCCCATATTTTTAAATATAAAACATATTAATCAATAAATAATAAAAAATTAAATGGAAAAAACCTTAAACCTTTACAACTGATAAACATACTTCTCCTTTCTCAGATGTGCATATTTTATATGATATAACACAGAAGAAAAGTAGCAGTAATAGCAGCATTTTAAAGCAAGTGTAGTTGTTTCCAAGTTTTTAGTTGAATATATGCAACCCGATTTCTGTATATGATCTCTATTACTCACAGACTAAAGAATAATGTTAAATAAACTAAGGCAGCAGATTGCTCATCCTATTTAAGCACTTATGGTGGAGGCAAAATCCTCTATGTATTATCTTCAAGTAACATGCTGAACTAAATGAGAACTTACTATAAGTCCTATAGGACTTATAAATCATACAATAATAATCAAATAATCAAATTTATGTGCAAAACATCTCACACCAGAAGTCAAAACACTTCATTCAGTGACTCAAGAAAAAGATTGGCAACCATTAAGATAGCAATTTCTAAAACATTGGCTTTTGAAGCAATTTTGCCTTACATTTATGAGATGTAGAGCACCATTACAGAATTGAAAGCAACATCAGAAAACCTACATTCAAAATCTTATTCTGACACAATGAACAAGTCACTAAGTTTCTATGACTCAGTTTCTTCATGAAGATTCGATAAGCTGATATATATGCCCACCTATGGTCTGTGTCGGACTCTAGATTAATTACATCAGTATATGTTATATTTTGGGACTCATCCAGTCCTGAAAGGCAGGTGATTTTTATTCCCATTTCACTACTGAGGAAAGTGGGATAAAGAGAGATCATTTATTTGCAAAGGTCACACAACTATTAATAGTACGTGGCAGTGCAAAGAACATTACCTAGATCTGTCTCTTCAACCACACAATGCATGCTCTTGCCCTCTTCCCCAAAACAGAGCACCATACCATTCACAGTAGTAGTGGTGGTAGAGAATTAGAGAATTTTAATTTTCTAAGCATTTTCATATTTTATTTACCTAATTTGGCATGTAAACATGAAGAAATTGGATATTATGTGAAGGAGAAGAACTATCAAAGCCTTACTCTATATTACCTGGCTTTAGTAGGAAAATTTTGACTAAGATCCTTCATAACCACCAAAGCCAACTCAACAGGAGCAGACAAGATTCGAGCAGCCGTCTGAAAACTTAGATCTGCAACAATGTCAAATATAATTTAAAGTGTATTAATCTAATGCAATGAGAAGCAGGGAAAAAACCACATCTACTCCCCATTATTTTCTTGGTAATTAAGAATGCCTTGGAATACAGCCATTCCAGAGAGTGCCCATGGTTTAATTTCAGGTTTTATTCACCTCAGAGATCACTAGAGTGTAACAAGCTGTTCATGAGATACCTGCGTAAAACACTAGAGAACATAACACCACATTTACCAGAGGCTAAATCAAGCCCAAATCCTTTTCCCTCTTCTGAATTTACAATGTATCACAAAATACAGCATTGGGGCTTTGAGAAAATTTTATGCTGGGAAGAAAACCTTGATAAATAGTTGTTTGGAAAAGAGAAGTATAAAAACATCTTATCAAACTGACATGCTTTTATCACTCTAGATACACAGTTTAAAAAATGTGTACATACAGGAACTTAAAGAGTATGACACGTTCCTAGTATTACAAGCTTATATATCTTTCTCTGGTCACAGAGAAAGATTTGGCACTCATTTATATATATATATACTTCTACTTAGAGTTATCTGTTTATAAAAGGACTTTCCTCCTTTATTCTCTGATTAATCATAACTAATCACTGCCATCTTTAAAATCTGTGGCACCCACAGAATAATGTAATTATATACAATTAAATTCAAATTTTACATTTTTCAATGCCACAAAAATTAGGTTAATAACCTCTCCACATTCTCATTACCTTGCAACTGCCAAACTTTCAAAGGTGCCATTTCATTGGTGCTCTCCACAAGGTGCTTTCTGAGTTCCTTCAGCTGTCCCTTCAGGTCGGGGTGCAGGTCTCTGAAAGAAACATAAAATCAGTCCATTTCATTGTTTCTTCTTTCTCAAAGCACACTTAGAAGCTGGCTTCAATTTTATCTTCATGATTTTCTACTCCCAACCCTAAGAAAACAGCATGGAACACTACTCCACCAGAGAATGAAATCATATCTCTTGCAATAACATGGATGGAACTGGATGCCATTCTCTTAAGTGAAATAACTCAGAAACAGAAAGTCAAATACCTCATGTTTGTTCTCACTTTTACAAGTGGGAGCTAAATAATATATACACATCAACAGAGAGAGTGGAATAATTGACACCGAAAACTCAGAAGGATGTGAGGCTGGGAGGGTGAGGGATGAGAAATTACTTAATGGATACAACGTATACGATTTGCATCACAGCTACACTAAAAGCCCAGACTTCACCACTGCACAATATATCCATGTAACAGAACTGCCCTTGTACCCCCTGTCTATAAAAATAAATCCAAAAAAAAAAAAAGGCTGGGTGCAGTGCCTCACATCTGTAATTCTAAAACTTTGGGAGGCTGAGGAGGGAGGATTGCTTGAGGCCAGGAGTTCTAGACCAGCCTGGGCAAGAACTGCCTCTCTACAAAAAAAAATTTAAAATTAGCCAGGCCTGGTGGCACACACCTATAGTCCTAGCTACTCAAGAAGCTGAGGTAAAATGATCCCTGGAGCCCAGGAGTTTGAAGTTGCAGTGAGCTATGATGACATCACTGCATTCTAGCCTGGGCGACAGCAAGACCCTATCTCAAAAAAAAAAAAAAAAAAAAACATATATATGTAAAAAATTAATCCATATAGACAATTGTAAGATAGTTAAAAAATCATAACACTTGCAGATTAAAAGGAAAATCACTACAACAGTGAATTCCTATGCAGGAAGGCAATAAGACTAAGAGTGGGTAACAAAAAGGACTTTAACTTCATCTGTGGTATTTGACTGACCTGATGTTTTTTTTGTTTTCTTTTGTTTTGTTTTTAAAGTAAAAGAAGGCTTATGCTGGGGAAAAGAGAACTTGATAAGTAGTTCTTTGCAATAGAAAAGTAAGTATGACAGCAACAATCAATTCTGGGTAGTGAGTATGTTGATATGTGTTATTCTTCATACTATTCTGAATCTTTTTAATTTTGCAAAATAAAATTGGGGGAAAAAATTATTGTCAGTCCCAAAATGAATTTTTTTCAGCCTACAACATGCTGATAAATCCTTTAGTCATGTGAATACAATTTAGGCTAACCATGGTTATTGAGTTTTGTTTATCTTAAAATATAGTACATTTCATATAAAGCTAGTAAAGTAGAGGTTATCAGAGGCAGAGATATAACATGTAGATCAGACAGAAAGATTCGGTAGATTAATTCTGTTCTTTTAAATGCTAAAACTCAAAAAAAAAGTTTTTTAAGAGACAAGGTCTTGCTCTGTCACCCAGACTGGAGTGCAGTGGTATGATCATAGCTCACTTCAGCCTTGAAGTCCCGGGCTCCAGTGATCTTCTTGCCTCAGCTTCACAAGTAGCTGGGACAATAGGCACGTGCCACCACATCAGGCTAATTTTTTTATTTTTTTGTAGAGACAAAGTCTCACTATGTTGCCCAGGCTGGTCTGAAACTTCTGGGCTCAAGGAAACCTCCTACTTCAGCCTCCTGAAGTGTTGGGATTATAGGCACGAGCCACCACTCCTGGCTCAAAATTTCTTAAATGTAACATGAAGAAATTAAAATATTCACTGAGGCCCTTTACCTTCCAACCAATCCATTTCCAGTCAGTTAGGAAAGGGTGAGAATCTCAAATCCGAAATTCCAAAATCTAAAACTTTTTGAGTTGCCCATATGACACTCAAGGGAAACACTCATCAAAGGATTCTGGTGTTTGGACTTTCACATGTGGGATGCCCAACTAGTACATAAAATGCAAATATTCCAAAATCTGAAATCCAAAACTCTTCTAGTTCCAAGTATTGCTGAAAAGGGACACTCACCCTGTACAAACACTTTTTCATGATAAAAATACCATAACTGATCCAATTACTTTGGATAGCTAAATAACTAGTCTGAATGTCCAAAAGGTAAAATAGGTTCAATGCTCTACGTAATACCATTGTGCTATGAATGCATAAAATCATGCTATCCAAAAAACAAACATTAAAAATATGGCCGGGCGAGGTAGCTCACGCCTGTAATCCTAGCACTCTGGGAGGCCGAGGCGGGCGGATTGTTCTGAGCTCAGGAGTTCGAGACCAGCCTGAGCAAGAGCGAGACCCTGTCTCTACCAAAAAAT